CTAAGTGGTAGATGACTTGCATTAAAATATGTGACTCGCAAAAAAGGGTATGTACTTAATGATAAGCAAATTTAAGTGTCGTCGATAAATAAATATTACTTATTAATATCTTATCATATTTATGAATAGGTCACCAATGATTTTTCTTTAACTTGTAAGTACCAAAATTTACCTCACGTAAAAACCAGATTTGTGCGTGCGCCGAGGGTTCCGTACCTACCTAGGTAGGTACGGAACCCTCGGCGCACGAGTTTGACTCGTATGTGACCAGTTTTATATGTTTATTTTAGCCTAACCTATACGCAACCTATTATCTAATCTGTTCTAAATTCGAAAAAGATATTTATTGAAGTGAAAACTTCTTTAGCGGCCTTGTACACTTTTTTTGTAATGGGTAAAAAATGTTAAACTCGCGTCAGGACACGTGACCCTGATCGAAAATTCGTAAGACGGATGGAGCGTAGACAGCCGGCGCGGCGTAGGTAAAAAAATGTACCTATGCCTGCGCCTGCTGTTTCGTTTAGGCGGCGCAGGGCGCTTGCGCGAATGTTCGTTTTTCTGAGAGATAAACTTTTTAATGTAATATAAATTGTCATGTTTGTGTACGATAGCGCAATAAATAAATATTGTATTCTACTACATAAATGATAGTACTTTTATACTGATAATTAAAGCAATTCGTGTAAAATTATTCCCTAACCATTCCAAAATATCAAAAGTGCACAACGTTAATATTCACTTCTGCCGGCACTCCCGGAGTGCAACCCGTCGTTTTTTATTTATTTATATTTCCTGCAAGGACTGAAGGACATTGCATAAGGCGGTCTTGAATAAACCTTTGGGTGATGCAGAGCTGTGTGTGGCAGGTGTATTATTAGATCCGTCAGCCCTGGGAACGGGTCAGGTACCGCAGAACGACCTCCGTCCTCCATAAGCGCAGGCCTGGGGGTGACAGTTGAAGGCATCTGTCACCCTAGCAGAAGCAGGCCGGGTTGGCGGCGGTTGTGAGCGCACGCGCCCATTAAGTTGTAGAATGGGAACACCGTGGTTTCCACACACAAGGGAGTCATCGTAGATGGGCCGGGGTCCGTCAGGGTTCCAGGGATTTCGTTTCTAGGGTACACCTGGTTCCCCGGCTACTAGTACCCGAGACGGCGTGCGGTGTTTGGTCAGTTCATGTCCGCCATAACCACCGGTGGGTGGTATCCCCACAGACAAAAAAATAAGGTATATGATTAGAGCAGACGAGATTAAGTAATTTAAATTGTTCTCAGTTGTAAGATGGTTTATTAAATAGACACACTAGGTATACATATATGTAGTTTATACCTACTATATGATATATTCAATAATGAAGACACGAATAGTTATTCTGATGACTCCGTCCACAAGTCTCCATAGCTTGCGCACTCTAATCATGAAAGTTGATCGGTAGGTGGACATCCTGATCGTTAAAGAGAGGGCGTTCCAAAGGTTTACAGCTTGGACAGTGAAAGAAGAAACGAACGCTACAGGAATTATGTGAAGAACTAAGAAGGAGGAGATTGTCAGAGGAGTGAAGGTTTCTGTCGTGGTTAAATCAGAGGTATTGCAAGTGGGATGTTAGGTTAGTTTCTTTTCATGTGAGAAGAAGTTAATTATCATTTCATTTCATTTTAACAAGACAACTCCCGCATTAGGAATATATCCTGTATCGCGGGGGACTTTACAAACATACATGAAACGGACACAAATAACACCCAGACTTAGAACAGCAATTTGTGGATTACACAGTGTCGTAACTGCACGGATTGCGTAGTAGGAAGCGGCGTGGTGACCGCTTAAACCACTACGCCATCCGTGCAGTTAATCTGTGTTATTTTAGCATTTACGGTACACTATTTGTACCGTAAATGCGTGGTGCTCAGTGCAAATATTTAAATGCATTAAAATATATATTTGCTGTATATGTAGGTAAAAACTCGGTATTTACCTGATTTCTTTTCAATTCAATGTCATTTCATTATTACTGTTCCGTACCTCAAAAGGTAAAAAAGGAACCCTTATAAGATCACTTTCTTGTCCGTCTGTCCGTGTGTCACCACCAATTTTCTCAGGAATGGGTAGACCTAGCAAGTTGAAATTTATACCAGATACTGAGGTCTATGGTCCCTATTAGGTGTATAAAAATCAAGGTCCTGAGTCAACACGATAAAAAGATAAAGGCAAATTTCGATTTTCGCGAAAACTCAAGTACCAAAATTTACCTTAATTTTTAACTTTTTTATTTTAAGAATTTTCTCTTTACTTGTGCTATAAGACCCTGCTTTTAACCAAAATTGACAATTCTAGGTCAACGGGAAGTACCGTATAGGTTTTGGGTCGAAAACCTATATGGTAGTTCCCGTTGACCTAGAATCACGAAATTTGGCAAATACAAACGTCTTACAGCACAAATAAAGGAATAATTACAAAAAAATGAAAAAAAGTTGAAAATTAAGATAAATTTTGGTACTTACAAATTTCCGCGAAAATCTACGTAAAATCTGTGTAGGTACGGCACCCTCGGCGCACGAGTTCGACTTGTACCTGACCGAGTTTTTCATTTTAGTTTCACTTTAAATACTTATGTTAATTAAAATAAACATTTCAAAATTTAAAAATACTTTTAATAAGAATACAAGAACTGATGTGTGACCTCCACATTCAACAAAAATACATACAATGCCATCTAGCGGAGACACGCTTCATTACATTGAGACTGATAATCATGATTAGCGCAATAACATTTTCTCGCGTGAATTAGTTTATGTTGAAATAAATAGGATGAACAATTACTATTTTGTGATTAACTTGGTAGGTAGGTACTCACATGAACGTCCCATCCACAGATTTTTTTAGTGTTTATAATGTAATGTAGTGTGGTGTAATGTTATGTTTGTAGTGTAATGTTCAACTCAGCGACCTTTGAGGTATGAGTACGCTGTTTCCTTGAAGGTTTGAAGGTCGTAACGTTCCGGTAATATCGCAGGCGGTAATTTGTTACGCAGATTAGTTGTGCGAGGCAAATAGTGTCTTCAAAAGCGCACAGTGGTGGTGTACTTACTAAAAGTAGCTGGATATCTGTCGCAGTTCTAGTTTTCATCTTGTATGTAGATATACATTTAGGTTCAATAAATGTCTGAAGATAAAATATTGCTTGGTCCATAAGTATAGTTTGTATTCTAAGTTCTATGCTGTGTCTTTTACAGAATAAAGTTTTTTTTTTTTTATAATTATCTATATTATAAGCACATTAAAGTATTGCGCAATACCATGCAATAGGTGAAATCATATAACGGACACTTTAGTTAATTTAAATCTAGTCACTAATATAAATTTGTGAATTGCAGAATACAAAAAGCCATAAAAAATTGCCGTTTTGAGAGACCTGAAACTGTCTAAACATTTATCTATGCAAAATACCTTTGGATATTTTATTATATGTTGAACAGACAAACAATTATTGAATCGTTTTATAAATTGAGTTCTGAGGTGATGAGGTGTTAAAAATAAAGAAAAATCAACTGGATTAAGAACCTCCTCCTTTTGTGAATTCGGTTGAAACTCTTTACATAAATCAAAACGATATATTCAAATATTTCATCAAATCATAAGATAAGCAAAACACATGATAAAAAACTTTACTCATCGCTAAATCGAACTTGTATGACTTGCAAAATACAAAAAAGGCGAAGAAGAAAATTTACCCGATTTTAGAGGTAAAATTGATGTGAAACTATGAGGTTAGATTATTAACTAAAATATATTTCTACATAGTAAATTCATACTGTAAATAGTAAATTCATACATACTTGAAAACCGAGTACCGAGTAGGTGATAATTATAGATAACCTCCTCATGTATAGGAACCCCGATATTTCTTCCTGGTCACTGCTACCCACCCAGCCTGCTTTTGCTCGGGTGACCGACCACCTGTCACCCCCAGGCCTGTGCTTGTGGGGGACGGAGATCGTTTCGCGCCCGGTGCCTGAATCGTCTGCAGTACCTGGCCTACCCGACCAGGCCCGGGAACAGGCCAGGTACTGCACCGAGAGAGTTTTAAACCTCTCCAGGTCCTGCTCCGCCCTCTCCTTTGCAAGCATAACTTGCTTGCAGAAGGAGATGGCGGAGCGGAATCATGTAACGAAGCGAGAGAATCACAACTCCGATGGCCGCCACGAGGTCACGCCTCTGCTCCACGTTTGAGAGAGACGCATGTAAATCAGATGCAGATTTGCACAGGCAATTCAATATCTTCTCTCTTCTATCTGTATTATCTCTATGGCGGTGATAATTTTGTCACGGACTTGACGGTAGACAAAAATGTCACCCTGTTGTCACGTCGCCGCGTACGCGCCATAAAAACTCACACAAGTCACCCGTGCGCGCACTGCCTTTGAGTGGCCTATTTCTGACAAGAGATATAATCATAGAGTGAACAAGAGCCACAATCTTGCAATATAGGCAACGAGAGAGGTGAAAAAGTACGTAATTTTATTTATTTAAATTTATATATTTATAGAATTTTGGATATATATATTTACAATAGTAGGCCAAAACCTCCTTTCTGAGGAGAGGCCTATGTCCAGCAGTGGACTAGTAAAGGCTGTTGATGATGATGATGATGATATTTACAATGTTAGGTAAGTAATAAGTATATAGCCAGGGTCTGACGAAATAATAAAGGACATACGAAACGAAATTTATTCTAAATAATGAAACGTGTGCTTAATTAAATACAATTTATTTTAATATATTTTTGACAAAAGCATAAATTATATTATATATATTTAACAATTTAAGTAGGTGATTTGCAAGTGATCAATATTTTCATTAATATATATTTTGTATAATAACAACGATTTATTTAAAAAAGAAGCATTTTCAATTATTATGACAACACAAGCCAGTAAAACTAAGTCAATAACAACAATGTTTACTTATTTAGGAGACTTAGAATACTATATCCTTTTAGGAATCTAATATTTTTCATCAGGTTTTACTCCATCCCAATCAACGATTTCCTTAGTGTACCAAACATATTTTCCACGAACTGTGTCATCTGCGTCCAGTGCCAGGAACAGTGGTGCCGCAGCTCCTTGATCTACAGTCAAGGGGCCCGTATGTGATGACATGTCCGTGTCTACATAGCCTGGATGTACAGAGTTCACTTTGATGTCTGTGAAAAAGAACATCAATGTCAATAAGGGTTCTTCAACAGAGTGATGAACAGGTTCTTTAGGAGTCAGCAATAGGCAAGCGAGATTCAAAAGTGTTAATGCAGTGCACAATGCTTTGAGTTAGATAAACATTTGTGACATACAGAAAAAGGTAAGACTATATAACTTATAATATTTATTCGATAAAAGGTTAACAGTTCTTATCTTATCATTTTTACAATTATTGTGAAGGTTAAAGCATGGACTTCGTTAAAACTTAAAATACTATCTTTGTTTAAAACAAATAGGGGTCAGGCCTATTGACAGGGATTATAATTGTCTAAAGACAACTATACGCAAGGAGTTTCAGACTTCGGCAGTGCAAACTATTATGTGGTGATTCACTAAAAACCACTTTAAAAGGTCTAAGAAGCTATTTTTGGATCAGACCCCGACCAAAACTGTGGTCTAGTAAATGATGAATCATTCATTATAAACCCAAACAACTATTGGTTGTAAAAGCATAACCTAGTAAACCTGCAAATCCTTATATACATAATTATCTCATGCAGTAAATATATTTAAGAAATGAAAAAAGAAAAATATAGATAAGATAGGAAGTTAATGAATAAACATAATTTATAATAAATTATTACCTTTACTATTTAATATTCTCTGTTGAATGTTGGACAAGGCACTCACGCCCACTTTAGACACCGCATATGAGGAGTTGCCCCACTCAGCAGCATGAGTTCCTTCCTTAGCAGCGTCCACATATTGCTGCATTAACTTAGAAAGCTCTGGAATCGTCAGGTTCTCGTCTTTGAGTTTGTCTCTCAAATCCTTACTTGGAATTAAACTCAAGTGGCCCATGGAACTAGATACATTAACCACCCGTGCGCCGTTTTTCAATAGCGGAAACAATACATCACACGTTGATACTAAAGAGAAGTAGTTCACAAAGAGCGTCTGTTCAGCTTGAACAGACGCCGGCTCTGTGGCAGATTTTTTAAAAGCAATAGCGGCATTGTTAACTAAAATATCGATTCCTTCATATTTACTCTTGATATAATCCCGGAAACTTTCAAGACTCTTCTTATCTGTGACGTCTAGCTGGTAAAACTCTGGCTTCAAACCTTCCTTGTTAAGCTCTTCTACCGCTTTCTTTCCTCGCTCAACATCTCTCGCTGTTAAATACACAACTCCATCAAATCGCTTGCAAAGACCGCGTACTATTGCGTACCCGATACCCTTGTTAGATCCAGTTACGACTGCAACCTTCGTAGCCATAATAAAATTAACAAAAACTTTACACACTACTCTCAAAACTTAACTTTGTAGAAATGAGAATCCTTGAACAGAATAACACAGTGTACACAATCGTCAGTTCTGTTTGGCTATTTATATCGCTACGATTGTTAAATTGTATTATACCGTAGATAAAAAAGATAAAATAGTGTTGCCAACAAATCTTTTCAAACACCCAATGGTTTAAGGATATTTTAATAAAATATTAAGGCGGTAGTGTGTGACGTTGGGCACGTCCTTATTGCGGCGGTAAGACCGGTCATAGAGGATTGGCTTGAAAGGCAACAAGGGACCCTTTTGTACCGGCTGGCGCAGGTGATCACCGGGAAATGATGCTTCGGATGCTTTTATTGCGGCGGCACGCCTTTATTGCGGCGGCACGCCTTTATTGCGGCGGCACGCCTTTATTGCGGCGGCACGCCTTTATTGCGGCGGCACGCCTTTATTGCGGCGGCACGCCTTTATTGCGGCGGCACGCCTTTATTGCGGCGGTAAGACCGGTCATAGAGGATTGGCTTGAAAGGCAACAAGGGACCCTTTTATACCGGCCCGGTATAAAAGGGTCCCTTGTTGCCTTTCAAGCCAATCCTCCATAACCGGTCTTACCGCCGCAATAAAGGCGTGCCCGACGTCACACGCTACCGCCTTAATATTTTATTAAAACATTCTTAAACCATTGGGTGTTTGAAAAGATTCGTTGGCAACACTATTTTTTTTATCTACCGTATGATACAATCTAACGATCGTAGCGATATAAATAGCCAAACTGAACTGACGTTTGTTTACACTGTGTTATTCTGTTCAAGGATTCTCATTTCAACCAAGTTAAGTTTTGAGAGTAGTGTGTAACGTTTTTATTAATTTTATTATGGCTACGAAGGTTGCAGTTGTAACTGGATCTAACAAGGGTATCGGGTACGCAATAGTACGCGGTCTTTGCCAGCGATTTGATGGAGTTGTGTATTTAACAGCGAGAGATGTTGAGCGAGGAAAGAAAGCGGTAGAAGAGCTTAACAAGGAAGGTTTGAAGCCAGAGTTTCACCAGCTAGACGTCACAGATAAGAAGAGTCTCGAAAGTTTCCGGGATTATATCAAGAGTAAATATGAAGGAATCGATATTTTAGTTAACAACGCCGCTATTGCTTTTAAACAATCTGCCACGGAGCCGGCGTCTGTTCAAGCTGAACAGACGCTCTTTGTGAACTACTTCTCTTTAGTATCAACGTGCGATGTATTGTTTCCGCTATTGAAAAACGGCGCACGGGTGGTTAATATATCTAGTTCTATGGGCCATTTGAGTTTAATTCCAAGTAGAGATTTGAGAGATAAACTCAAAGACGAGAAACTGACGATTCCAGAACTTTCTAAGTTAATGCAGCAATATGTGGACGCTGTTAAGGAAGGAACTCATGCTGCTGAGTGGGGCAACTCCTCATATGTGGTGTCTAAAGTGGGCGTGAGTGCCTTGTCCAACATTCAACAGAGAATATTAAATAGTAAAGGTAAGAATTTATTATAAATTATGTTTATTCATTAACTTCCTATCTTATCTATTTTTATCTATATTTATCTTTTTCATTTCTTAAATATATTTACTGCATGTGATAATTATGTATGTTTATGGGGACTTTTTGAATATATTCGGCTAAAAGCAAATAAATAATATTTTTAATGACAATGACAACTTCTTAGATCTGGTAATAGTGGATGAGAACTCTAACATTACGGTCTCAGCGGCGCCCGCCTTATGTAAGCCCGATAAATACCACCCTCCATTAGAATTAGAATACTTCTCAGCCTAAGTACTATTTAACAAAACCGACTATAAAGCCTGCAATCGTGACCTATTAATGGTCAATTGGGAAGACTATAACACATTCAATTGTAACGGGTTTGTTCACACGTTTATGACATACTATGGGAAACTATAGACAAATATACTCCAAAAGGTAGACATAAAAATCAAAACTATCCGCCTTGATTATAAATGATTAGAGAAAAAAACAAATATAGAACTCGATGTAAAACATATAAACCCTAAAGACAAAGATTCATTTAGTTTGTTACACACACGAGTTAAAAAGGCCATAGTAACCAGTTTCAGGAATTACATTGCAAAAATAGAGAAGGATTTAAAAACGAACATAAACGCTTTTTGGCGTTATGCGAAATAGAAACAGACATACAGAGGCATTCCCAATCAAGTTTATTATAATGATACAGTGGGAGAAGGTAGAAGTGGCGTAACGAAACAATTTGCGAATGCTTTGCTTCTGTTTATAATAACAATCCATCCCGTACTAATTACGAACCTAACTTCACCACTTCAAATTACAGTCTTTCCTCTGTTAATATTACTGAAAACGATGTTAAAGAAATTATAAAGAAAATCGATTTAAATAAGGGAGCTGGGCTGGATCGGTTATTTCCGATTTTTATTCTTTTCTGTATGGAGGGTGCTTATTGCGGTGGCTCGAGAGTTATATCGTGAATCGTTCACTTCTGGTTGCATTGGCAGGCTATGAATCTGCTCCATTGATCCCCAGCTCAGGCATCCCACAAGGTTGTGGTATGGCATCACACAATTGTGTCAAGTTTCCTTCTCTTTGCAGTGATGTAGTTCTGTGTAGTTTGCTCCCTTAGTCGGCTCTTACAACACCCACGGGATGATTTGGGATGATTTCGGACAAATAGTAACTAATTTTTTTACAAAACACCTGCCTGGAAAACAATATCTCTCTCAATGTGAAGAAATGCTAGTTTAAAACTTTTACTAATAAAAAGAAATATATCAAATTTGAATATTACATAGAAAAGGTTTACTTGAGCAAAGTTACTACCATTCGGGACTTAGGAGTGCTTTTTGACTCGTCACTAACGTTTCGCGATCACATAGACACTCTAGTAAATAAAGCTAAAAAGATGCTCGGTTTCATAATCCGCATGTCCAAGCCTTTCGAGACAACAGCAGTATTATATTACTTTACAACGCCTTAGTAAGGAGTTATTTGGAATATTGTTCCACTATATGGTCCCCTTATTATGCAACACACATAGATAATGTGGAGTCAATTCAGTTTCGCTTCATCAGGTATTTGTGCATAAAAAACGGAATCCGTAAAACTATTCCACAATACAGTGACAGGTTAAATCATTTTTGCATGTTAAGTTTAGAAGAAAGCCGCTTTCATTCTGACTATACTCGTAGATGCACAATTAACATACAACTTTAACTTCAGATTAATACACGGGTAATGCGTCACCACCATGAAATACCTATATCAACTTTAAATACCACTTTCAATAGCCCGGAAACAGTACCGGAAACTCAAACTATGAAAATGTTATCGCCCACGATGTTGTAATTATGCTGTTGATGTGCTTAATATAAATAAATATATAAGAATTTGCAGGTTTACTAGGCCGTGCCATTGCAACCATTAGTTGTTGGGGTTTATAATGAATGATTCACCATTTACTAGACCACAGTTTTGGTCTGGGTCTAAACCAAAAATAGCTTCTTAGACCGTTTGAAGTGGTTTTTATCGATAACACCACATAATAGTTTGCATTGCCGAAGTCTGGAACTCCTTGCGTATAGTTGTCTTTCATCATCATCATCATCATCATCAACAGCCTATAATAGTCCACTGCTGGACATAGGCCTCTCCTTTCTAAGGAGAGGCCTATGTCCAGTTGTCTTAAGACAATTATAATCCCTGTCAATAGGCCTGACCCCTATTTGTTTTAAACAAAGATAGTATTTCAAGTTTTAACGATGTCCGTGCAAGTGTTTTAACCTTCACATTCCTTATAAACATGATAAGATAGAAACAGTTAACTTCTTATCGAATATATAAGTTACTAGCTGACCCGCGCAACTTCGTCTGCGTCTCTCAATAGTAATAAATTTTCTCCGTTTTTGAAACATTCTTCATTGTTGCTCCGCTCCTATTGGTCTTAGCGTGATGATATATAGCCTATAGCCTTCCTCGATAAATGGGCTATCTAACACTGAAACTTGACATTAATGTTCTTATTCACAGACATCAAAGTGAACTCTGTACATCCAGGCTATGTAGACACTGACATGACATCACATACGGGCCCCTTGACTGTAGATCAAGGAGCTGCGGCACCACTGTTCCTGGCACTGGACGCAGATGACACAGTTCGTGGAAAATATGTTTGGTACACTAAGGAAATCGTTGATTGGGATGGAGTAAAACCTGAGGAAAAATATTAGATTCCTAAAAGGATATAGTACGAATATTATAAGTCTCCTGAATAAGTAAACATTGTTTTATTGACTTAGTTTTACTGGCTTGTGTTGTCATAATAATTGAATATGCTTCTTTTTTAAATAAATCGTTGTTAATATACAAAATATATATTAATGACAATATTGAGAATCACTTGCAAATCACCTACTTAAATTGTTAAATATATATAATATAATTTATGCTTTTATCATAAATATATTAAAATAAATTGTATTTAATTAAGCACACGTTTCATTATTTAGAATCAATTTCGTTACTTATGTCCTTTATTATTTCGTCAGAACCTGGCTATATACTTATGACTTACTTAACTTTGTATATATATCTAGAATTCTATAAATATATAAATTTAAATACATACATTTAGGTACTTATCCATCTCTTTCAGTGCCTATATTGCAAGATTGGAGCTCTTGTTCACTCTTTGATTATATCTCTTGTCAGAAGTAGGCCACTCAAAGGCAGTGCGCGTACGGGTGACTTGTCACTGTAGTCCGGCCTGTGAGTGTATATGGCGCGTACGTGGCGACGTGACAACAGGGTGACATTTTTGTCTACCGACAAGTCCGTGACAAAATTGTCACCGCCATAGAAATAATACAGATAGAAAAGAGAAGAAATTGGATTGCCTGTAATTGGAATAGCGACGTCGGTGGAAAGATAAAGACGGCGATTTACATGCGTCTCTCTCAAACGTCT